AACACCCTGCTTACACCATTCACGTTCACACACCTTACTCCTAACACCCTGCCAACACCATTCACGCTCGAACACCTTGCTCAAAACCCCCTACCCACACCATTCACGTTTACACACCTTGCTCATTACACCCTGCCCACAACATTCACGTTCACACACCTTCCTCATAACACCCTGCCCACACAATTCACGCTCACACACCTTGCTCATAACACCCTGCTCACACCATTCACGAACACACACCTTGCTCATAACACCCTGCCCACACCATTCATGTTTACACACCTTGTTCATAACACCCTGCCCACACCATTCACGTTCACACACCTTGCTCAAAACACCCTGCCCACACCATTCACGTTCACACACCTTGCTCATCACACCCTGACCACACCATTAACGTTTACACACCTCGCTCATAACACCCTGGCCACACCATTCACGTTCACACACCTTGCTCATAACACCCTGCCCACACCTTTCAGGTTCCCACACCGTGCTCATAACACCCAACCAACACCATTTATGTTTACACACCTTGCTCATAACACCCTCCCCACACGATTCACGTTCACTCACCTTGCTCATAACACCCTGCCCACACCATTCACGTTCACACATCTTGCTCATAACACAACCCCACACCATACACGTTCACACACCTTGCTCATAACACCCTGCCCACACCATTCACGTTCACACACCTTGCTCATAACACCCTGCCCACACAAATCACGCTCACACACCTTGCTCATAACACACTGCCCACACCATTCACGTTCACACACCTTGCTCATAACACCCTGCCCACACCATTCACGTTCACACACCTTGCTCATAACACCCTGCCCACACCATTCACGTTCCCACACCGTGCTCATAACACCCTACCAACACCATTTATGTTTACACACCTTGCTCATAACACCCTCCCCACACGATTCACGTTCACACACATTGCTCATAACACCCTGCCCACACCATTCACGTTCACACACCTTGCTCAAAACACCCTGCCAACACCATTCACGCTCACACACCTTGCTCAAAACCCCCTACCCACACCATTCACGTTTACACACCTTGCTCATTACACCCTGCCCACATCATTCACGTTCACACACCTTCCTCATAACACCCTGCCCGCACAATTCACGCTCACACACCTTGCTCATAACACCCTGCTCACACCATTCACGAACACACACCTTGCTCATAACACCCTGCCCACACCATTCATGTTTACACACCTTGCTCATAACACCCTGCCCACACCATTCACGTTCACACACTTTGCTCATAACACCCTGCCCACACCATTCACGTTCACACACCTTGCTCAAAACACCCTGCCCACACCATTTACGTTCACACACCTTGCTCATCACACCCTGCCCACACCATTCACGTTTACACACCTCGCTCATAACACCCTGCCCACACCATTCACGTTCACACACCTTGCTCATAAAACCCTGCCCACACCATTCACTTTCCCACACCGTGCTCATAACACCCTACCAACACCATTTATGTTTACACACCTTGCTCATAACACCCTCCCCACACGATTCACGTTCACACACATTGCTCATAACACCCTGCCCACACCATTCACGTTCACACATCTTGCTCATAACACAACCCCACACCATACACGTTCACACACCTTGCTCATAACACACTGCCAACACCATTCACGTTCACACACCTTGCTTATAACACCCTGCCCACACCATTCACGTTCACACACCTTGCTCAAAACACCCTGCCCACACCATTCACGTTCACACACCTTGCTCATCACACCCTGCCCACACCATTCACGTTTACACACCTCGCTCATACCACCCTGCCCACACCATTCACGTTCACACACCTTGCTCATAACACCCTGCCCACACCATTCACGTTCCCACACCGTGCTCCTAACACCCTACCAACACCATTTATGTGGACACACCTTGCTCATAACACCCTCCCCACACGATTCACGTTCACACACATTGCTCATAACACCCTGCCCACACCAATCACGTTCACACACCTTGCTCATAAAACCCTGCCCACACCATTTACGTTCCCACACCGTGCTCATAACACCCTACCAACACCATTTATGTTTACACACCTTGCTCATAACACCCTCCCCACACGATTCACGTTCACACACATTGCTCATAACACCCTGCCCACACCATTCACGTTCACTCATCTTGCTCATAACACAACCCCACACCATACACGTTCACACACCTTGCTCATAACAAACTGCCAACACCATTCACGTTCACACACCTTGCTCATAACACCCTGCCCACACGATTCACGTTCACACACCTTGCTCATCACACCCTGCCCACACCATTCACGTTTACACACCTCGCTCGTACCACCCTGCCCACACCATTCACGTTCACAGACCTTGCTCATAACACCCTGCCCACACCTTTCACGTTCCCACACCTTGCTCATAACACCCTACCAACACCATTTATGTTGACACACCTTGCTCATAACACCCTCCCCACACGATTCACGTTCACACACATTGCTCATAACACCCTGCCCACACCATTCACGTTCACACACCTTGTTCAAAACACCCTGCCCACACCATTCATGTTTACACACCTTGCTTATAACACCCTGCCCACACCATTCACGTTCACACACCTTGTTCATAACACCCTGCCCTCACCATTCACGTTCACACACATTGCTCATAACACCCTGTGCTAACCATTCACTATCACGCACCTTGCTCATAACACCCTGCCCACACCATTTACGTTCACACACCTTGCTCATAACACCCTGCCAACACCATTCACGTTTACACACCTTGCTCATAACACCCTGCCCACACCATTCACGTTCACACACCTTGCTCATAACACCCTGCTTACACCATTAACGTTCACACACCTTGTTCATAACACCCTGCCCACAGCATTCACGTTTACACACCTTGCTCATAACACCCTGCCCACACCATTCACGTTCACACATCTTGCTCATAACACCCTGCCCACACCATTCACGCTCACACACCTTGCTCATAACACCCCTCTCACACCATTCACGTTCACACACCTTGCTCTTCCCACTATTCCCACACCATTAACGTTCACACACCTTGCTCATAACACCATGCCCACACCATTTACGTTCACACACCTTGCTCATATCACCCTGCCCGCACCATTCACGTTAACACACCTTGCCCAAAACACCCTGCCCACACCATTTACGCTCCCGCACCTTGCTAATAACACCCTGCCAACACCATTTACGTTCACACACATTGCTCATAACACCTTGCCCTCACCATTCACTATCACACACCTTGCTCATAACACCCTGCCCACACCATTCACGCTCCCCGCACCTTGCTAATAACACCCTGCCCACACCATTCACGCTCATACACCTTGCTCATAACACCATGCCCACACCATTCACGTTTACACACCTCGCTCATAACACCCTGCCCACACCATTCACCTTCACACACCTTGCTCATAAAACCCTGCCCACACCATTCACGTTCCCACACCGTGCTCATAACACCCTACCAACACCATTTATGTTTACACACCTTGCTCATAACACCCTCCCCACACGATTCAGGTTCACACACATTGCTCATAACACCCTGCCCACACCATTCACGTTCACACATCTTGCTCATAACACAACCCCACACCATACACGTTCACACACCTTGCTAATAACACACTGCCAACACCATTCACGTTCACACACCTTGCTCATAACACCCTGCCCACACCATTCACGTTCACACACCTTGCTCAAAACACCCTGCCCACACCATTCACGTTCACACACCTGGCTCATCACACCCTGCCCACACCATTCACGTTTACACACCTCGCTCATACCACCCTGCCCACACCATTCACGTTCACACACCTTGCTCATAACACCCTGCCCACACCATTCACGTTCCCACACCGTGCTCATAACACCCTACCAGCACCATTTATGTTGACACACCTTGCTCATAACACCCTCCCATACGATTCACGTTCACACACATTGCTCATAACACCCTGCCCACACCATTCACGTTCACACACCTTGCTCAAAACACCCTGCCCACACCATTCATGTTTACGCACCTTGCTTATAACACCCTGCCCACACCATTCACGTTCACACACCTTGTTCATAACACCCTGCCCACACCATTCACGTTTACACACATTGCTCATAACACCCTGTGCTCACCATTCACTATCACGCACCTTGCTCATAACACCCTGCTCACACCATTTACGTTCACACACCTTGCTCATAACACCCTGCCAACACCATTCACGTTTACACACCTTGCTCATAACACCATGCCCACACCATTCACGTTCACACACCTTGCTCATAACACCCTGCTTACACCATTCACGTTCACACACCTTGTTCATAACACCCTGCCCACAGCATTCACGTTTACACACCTTGCTCATAACACCCTGCCCACACCATTCACGTCAACACACCTTTGCTCATAACACCCCTCTCACACCATTCACGTTCACACACCTTGCTCTTCACACTATTCCCACACTATTAACGTTCACACACCTTGCTCATAACACCATGCCCACACCATTCACGTTCACACACCTTGCTCATAACACCCTGCCCACACCATTCACGTTAACACACCTTGCCCAAAACACCCTGCCCACACCATTTACGCTCCCGCACCTTGCTAATAACACCCTGCCCACACCATTTACGT